GTGAACATACAGATATATAACATATCTGTTAATCATTTATGTGCAGAGCACTGCCAAATGAGTCAGCCCCGAAACAACACAACAGTAACATAATATTCCTGAAACTTAATAAACCGCAAAGCAAAATGCTCAGAAAGGAATTCACTGGTCTCCTATTAGAGGACAATTGGACCGAGGAAATACTGTGACTCGGCTGACACGTAAAGCAAGCCTAACGATGTGAATCCTATAAGTCTGACAAGTAACATAATCACAAGCTCCAAGAGAACATAATGACAACAAAGTGAGGAGCCCACAGGCACCAAGTGTGATAACCAACAGTTAAAAATAACTAATTTGGTTTTATCGGGTTTCAGAAACTCTGCTTGGAAAACTCACAAAAAAGAAAGAAAAACAAAAACACACCCAAACACAAGATCTTGTTTCTGTCACTTGTACTTTTGTCCAGTAAGATTACACTTGTGTAGTTTCTCGTCTCAAATTACATAACCGAGTAGTGCAAATATAGCAGTGTGCAATAATTAACAGGAGAATACACTAACTTCAACACAGGCCAACTAAAGAGGAGACAAGTCCTTCCTTATTGCTCCTTACCTTGAACCTTGAAATAGTCTATGCAACAATAAATTAACGTGGCAGCCACAGATAAGCAAGGTTAACGCAGCCTACCTGTCATAGATGAGCCCGTCGATTCCCTGCTCTCTCAGCTTCCTTCTGGTTTCGTGATCATTGTTGTCATCCCCCCAGCTGAATACCACTAAGCCTTTAGACTGGGCATCCCCAATGTAGCTAAGGTACTTTAACAGCTCTTCTGTGTGGGCGCTGATTCCCTGGAAAACAACAGTCATATATAGATTAAATTAAATGCGGTCCATCTTAAACAATAAATAAATAAATACCTTCTTACATAAAGTGGTGAGGATGAATCACTAAAGTACTCTCAGCCCTTCGGACTGAAACATTCAAGATGATTAACTATACACAACATATTCAGTAGCAGCAGCACTTATAAAAAGAACATTACACTGAAAACCTGAAGACTAATCATTGTAGTAAAGCACGCGGTTGTATCTCACCAGAATATTTTCACTCTGGGCGAAGCTCATGGCAATTTTAGTGGACTGGCACCGGATGTCCATCATCTCAGGATACTTGTCTGAAATTCCCTGAGTGAGGAAGAGGATGGGGTACTTGTTCTGCTTATGACGCACCCTGAAGGACAAGAACAAACAGATATCACAAACTGCTGGAAAGCACCTATTAATAACTAAATGCTGGAAGGGCAACATCTGTTCATGAGTTCAATCTAGTAAGAGAATAGGAGCATCAAGCAGCTAAACATCCAGAGCCATGCTTTACTATGAGACTGAACTACCTAAAGGTGCCCTAACAAAGAGATTTTTCAGCAACAACTTATTTAAAGCAACTCTTGTAAAAACACAGTCTGAGGAATTAAAAAATAAATAAAAAATTCTTTCTACTGAATATACACTTTATCCATCCACATATAAGTGTTTAGCATTTGTGAATACCACACCGTTTATCTCAAGAGTGTTAGCATGTGCCCCTTTTAATCCTTTTGCACTCACATGGTGCAGATGTCAGGGTCAAAACAGGAGAACACGATGCGTCTTTTTCCACCTTTCTGCAGAACGTCTGTCAGGATGATGTCCAAAAAGGTGTTCATGTTGAAGTAAGATGATAAGTTTCCGTCCCATGACCCGTCCTGTCAATACAAAGCATCACCAACAACGTCAGGTCAATTTGACAATGACAGTCTTGAACTTTTGACTTTCTGAATATTAACCTTCATCTGGAAGATCCACTTGAGCTCAATATTGAAGCCGACGTTTTCAGGAACAGCTTGGAAGATCTGTAGAGAGGTACAGAGCAAAATCCTTTATTACACCGGGACATAAAAATCAGACTAAGAGGAAGAGAAGAAGATAGAAGATGGTTCAGTCAAATTATGTCATTTACCTGTGAGAGCGAGGGGAATGGCTGATGCTCATCAATTTCATCTTCATCATCCAGCAAATCTGAGCAAACGAAAACAGATTACTCTACATTGTACGAGTTATCCTCAACATTCAACAAATCTTTACAAGATGATGTGTACAAAACAAGCTTGGATGTCATCTACAGTGTACAAAACAACAAATCATTGCTTAAATAAAATAACTTATCTTAAACACCTCATGCAACAAAACAAAATCTCTACAAACATGACAATATCATAACCAAGCCATTTTACTCTTTGAACCAAGGTCTTAGCATGATCATGTGAGTATTGAATGAGTAAAT